GTAAAGCTTTTTGTTCACCTAGCTTTGGAATAGCGTGATGCTAATTGCTAACTTTGTCTGCATTATTTTTTAAAGATCAAATGGGCACAGTGGTAATTTTCATTAATCTCATACAGAGCAGCTAATTAAAATTTCCATTATTATCCATCCATTATCTAGTTGTTTCCTTTGTTCAGTATCAGAACAGGATGTTAATAATAAGCCATTCTCATATTACAGCCCTATTAAGTACAGTGAGAATCTGTTTAATCTATGGCACTATTTTGTTTTTAGGTGATTTCTTTCATGTTGCACCATATTGATTATGCTGAAGATAATTTGACACTCTGACATTTTGTAATAGAGATTTCATAATTAAATACTTGTTGCTTTAATTTTTTATTCAATATTGGGGAAAAGTGGCATAGAGTGGAGAAAAGAGTAACCTAAGGACCAGAATAGTTATGTTTTAGTCCTGAAATCTCTCTAATTATGTGAACTTGGGCAATCACCTGGATTCTTTTATTTCTATAATGAGGATATTAGAAGAGCTGATCTTCAAGGGCCAGTCCAGCCTTAAAATGCTATGATGTTTTCATAATTTTCAAATATGAATTTATGTTAAAAATGCCAAAGTCCATCTAAGCTTTGTAAAAGTCATTTGTTCTATACAACTATATGTTTTCTATCTTGCTCCATTAGATTATTTGTTTCCATTCCTTATAAGCAGAGAGTGTCCTAAATTACATAACTTAAACTTGTTTCTAAGACTTTGGTGGGGGGTGGTGGGCTGGTCCAATTATCCATAAAGAGTATCTCAGCCAAGACTGTATGCCCCAATTAGATGAATCCTGTAGAGCGTCCATTAGAAAAAGGGAACTAACATTTTCTGAGTAGCTTACTCTGTGTCTGTGAGGTAACACATATGAAATGCCTGTTTAAGGCACTTTATATGCATTGTCTTACTTAATTCTCATGATAAATGTTAGGGGTAGGTGTTTATTACCCCTATGCCATGGATGAGCAAACAGGTTTATAGAGATTAGTTAACAGACTGCCCAGAGATTACTAGATGCTATCATTTGAATGTCCTCCCAAAACTAACTGAAGCTTGATCCCTACTGGAACAGTACCAAGAGGGTGGGAAATCAGATTATGGTATTTGAAAGGTGGGGCTTTGGGAGGTAACTGGATTGTGAGGACTCTGCCCTCATAAATGGATTAATCCGTTCATGGATTAATGAGTTAATGGATAAATGGGTTATCACATGAGTGGCAGTAGTGGCTTTATAAGGAGAGGAAGAAGCATGTTAGCATGTTCTTGCTCAGTCCTCATTATGTGATACCCTGCATCGCCATGGATCTCTGTAGAGAGTCCCCACCAGGAAGGAGGCCCTCACCAGATGTGGCCCCTAGACCTTGAACATCCTGCCTCCAAAACTGTAAGAAATAAATTTTATTTTCTTATAAATTACTCAGTTTCAGGTATTCTGGTATAAGTAATAGGAAACTGACTAATACACTACAAGATAAATGACTGGGACCATGATTGAAGTTTGGACTATCCCTAGCATGCCATACAGTGTCTCAGTCTACCTGTTCTATATGCAGCATTTCTGAATATATTGTAACTGAGAGTCTCAGAACTATAATATTCTGAATCAAAGATAAACTAAGCTTTCAAGCATGTTAAAACTCATCAGTCATTCACCCGTTTGTTTATTCTCCATTCATCCGTCCATCCAGGAAATATGTACTGAGTGCTTACTGCATGCCAAGCACTGTCTTAAGATCTGGGTATATAGTGGTGAACAAGGAAGGCAAGATTCCTGCCTAATAAAGCTTATATTTTAGTGGGGAAGACACACTAAACAAGATAAACTTACATAGAGCTAATACTACAAGTGATGTTTAAAATGATGTTGTGATGATAACTAGAATATGGAGGGGAGAAGACTGTTGAGCTGAGACTTAAATGATGGGAGCCAGCAATGGAGAGGTCAGGGTAAGAGTCTTCTAGGAAGAGAAAATGGTAAAATACAAAGGTCATTCTACAGGAATAAGCTTAACATATAAGCCTCTAGGGGAGGATCAGTGGGGCCTTTTATCCGTTAATTAAGAAAATAAGTTTGAAGGTTATATGAAAATGGTATGTGACTACAGACATAGAAAATTTTAAATTTCTTGAACTACTAGTTTTCAAAATGGTTCATGCAGTAAATAGATCCATTCATTGTTACTGATGGACTTTGTATTGTTGTAGAAAGTGAGTTGGTTGAGCAAAAACAGAAGTATAATTTTAAATTTTCAAAATTATGCTTTAAATGCTCACTTGCTATTATTATTCCTTGTTGAATAAAAGATGGGTAAATAAGTTACATGATTGTGGAAAAGATTTCACCATAATGTTTTCACTTACTGTGTCCTATGTGGTAATTCATCCAGTGTACTTCTTGAATATATGCTGTATCTCCTAACAAAGCAAGAGAAATCAAGTCTGTGGCTATTACACACAGTATGGGAGCTAAAAGCATAAAATTGTATTCCTTGTTATGTAATTGTTATGGACAAAATCAGTAGTAGCACACTACACTTTTGTTGAAGCTCACTAAATCCAGGCACTGTGTTAGGCACTTGGCATACATGGAGTTCTCAGTGTAGAACAGGGACAGACACAAGTAATGACCTCTTCCACAATATTTTAAGTTCTGTAATAGTGATAATACTGCCACAGTGCTATAAACAAATGAAGTTTCCCTGCATGTGATAAGCCTTTAGCAGACTTTAAACATTTATTATTTAATGGGATTTTTTTTAAAATTCAGAAATTAAGAATGATCGACAATTTCTATATTGATTAGGCATTCTCAATTAAAAAATCAAAGAGTATGAAACCCTAGGGCATCCATTTATCATTATTAACACGTTTTTTAAAATGCCATATCCTCTAATGATATGACTTCTACCCAATGGGGGGGAAATTGCTTTCCTTATGCTAGCTTTAGATCCTTAGCAGAAACTGAGTGTAATTTGTGTGAACTTGGAAAATGGGACTCAAGCTGGAGTCTTAATTCAGGGGGATACATTTATAGTATAGAAAAGGGGCAGTTATGATTAAATATGTCTAGAATGTGAAACTATGAGTTATTAGTACAGTGAATGTGTTGATGATGTTTTCCTCCCAGCCTTTTCTCTGACCTACTTATATAGTTATTAGCAAGGTGATGAATCTAAGAAGCTGTGATGAGATAATGAATTCCAGAAATAACTCCATGTATACTGGAAATTAAGCTAAAAACTAGTTGGTATCAGATAAATGTACTTAATGACTTTTGAAGATTAATCTACAACATGTGAATAAGAGGAAGGAATGGTTGAGAATTGGTGAATGCTTTAGACTGGTTTGATTAGTTGACATGCTAATTGTGGATTACATTTTTTACACTTTAATAACTATTTTCACTAGTTTTTTGAGATAGGCTGATACTCTGATATCTTCCAATAGATCTAGGTTATGTACAATGTTTTATATTAAATTTTACATCCTGTATTTGTATAATTGAATATAAATATCTTAACTAGGAAGATTAATAAGGTGATTTTTTTTTTTTTGGTGGCTGGCTGGTACAGGGATCCAAACCCTTGACCTTGGAGTTATTAACACCACGCTCTAACCAAATGAGCTAACCAGCCAGTTCAAATAAGGTGATTTTGAAATGTTCATCCTCTGGGTTAAGAAAGACCAACTAATATTAATCCTAATGCTTGGACTGTAAATTTTAGTACCTCTGTCAAACTATATTCAATTCAAGTCCATATTCAGTTCAGGCCATGAGCACCAGTAGTGTAATTTTCTTTTAAATGAAGATGAGGAGAATGTTAGATAAACACAACATGATTTTACCATGTCAATTCTATGATGAAGAATTTTTAAGTGCCTTCTACTCTGTACACATTTTCATACAGTAAATATTTATATATTCTATGCATTATTTTACTTTAGAAGTCTTTTTTTAAACTGTTGTTTATCTAAAATGGTATCTTTTTTTATTTTATAGGGTGGGCTGAAAAACAGCAAACATGAATGCACCCTGTCTTCACAAGAATATGTTCATGAATTACGATCTGGTATTTCAGATGAGAAACTTCTTAACTGCTTAGAATCCCTGAGGGTTTCTTTAACCAGCAATCCTGTCAGGTAGGTGGTTCTTGCCATTTCAGTATGATTCATACAATTTCTATTGTATATAATTGTTTGGGAATATAATCAGTTATTTTATTTTAACCTTAAGATTTCAGCAATGTCTGATTGTAAGGTTGTAAACATTTAAAAAATGTATTTAGTTAATCTGATCTCTAATAATGTGCAATTTTAAGAATACACATATTACTTGAACATTTAATTCCTCTTTGACATATAAAACATAGAGCCATAAGTAAAATATTCACATTTTTTTTGTCCTTTCTGAGACCTTATTCACATTTAAATGGAATTTGTGTACGCAGATACTAATTATTATATATTTATTAAAAAATTAAGTATATTGGCTCTATGGTTGTATTCCTTTTATATGTGAGAGGTATATAAAATTTCACATTCTTTTACAAGTTTTAGATTTACTATTCACACATTTCTATAATTTTGAGATAGCAAAATAATTTTAACCAATAAAAGAAATAGAAAGTATTAATAAACTCCTCAAAAGTCTATACATTTAGGCTATTAACTAACTACAAAGTATTATTGAGGAAGAGGTTATTTGCCATTGCTGGATTCCAATAACTGTTGTTCCTTTATTAACCATAAAAAAGCCTTTAAATTAATAAAATGTTTCACAAAGAAAAATAGATTTTCAGTATAGTATCAGAACATTTTGGGATCTAATCTTAAATTCAGAATATACTGGATAAGAGTATATAAAAACTTATTGTGATTTTATTCATGTTTTCTCAAATCTGTAATAGGCCCAAGTCTTGTACTTTTCTGACCTGTCCATAGAGCCTTGAAAATAATTTAGAGATCATTCAATTTGGATTTGTTTATAAATTGAAATATAAAATATTTATTCTTATTTATATTGCATTTGGAAAAAAATAACTGGAAAAGTATAATTCCACAACAAAAAAAAAATTAATAAAGCACTGGTAAAGATTTGACTTACCTTGGAGTATGATAATCGTTCAAAGGTTGTTATCTCGCCATTTCTCCATGTCTTCCAGAATGCTTCTAGTTTTAATGATTGGAACAAGGGATGTGAGTTCTGAGAACAGTCACCACGGCGTTCCCGCCTCCCCCCACCCCCCATAACCAATAGCACCCTGCTGTAGCGCCAAGCATTCGTGCTCCAAAAATTTCTGTAGAATGGTTGATTATTTGAGTGAGTAAATAAATACATCATTAAGAAGTCATTATAGAAGAAATTGTGGCATTCAAGAATAAAGTGGGGGAAAAACTAGTAAAAATGCAGCATGAAAATGACGTGAAAAGCTTAAAAGTATATGCAATCACGGCACACCCCAAAGGGTTATGAGATCAGGCAAGAACCTGGCAGGCCCTCATTGGCTGGAAGCAGCTGCATTCTGGTAGCTGATTGGCTCCCCAGGCAGCGTAAAGCTGCTTGTGTTGTCAAGCGCCTGGCGTTCGGTTGTAGCCGTTGGTGGAGCTCGAAACCCGCCTGTGGAGCTCCCTGACGAGAGCTGAACTCTGCCTCCTTCTCTGCCTGAGCTACCCTAAAGATGAGTAAGAGTGAGTTTGGGAGCGATGGCAGCGTTTCTGCTGTTCGTGGGGCCAGTGGTGGCAATGACGAGCCGCCTAAGGGAGGTGCAATTCCCACTGTGAAGATGGTTAGATCCAGGGCCCAAATCCAGGATATTGTACCCTGTTGTGTAAACCAGCTGCTGACCTCCACTCTGGCCGACAATGTGTTCAAGATTAGGGGAATTGAGGTTTCCCAGGTCTCCATCGTGGGAATAATCAGGCAGGCAGAGAGGGTTCCAAACTCCATTCTTTACAAAATTGATGATATGACCACGAAGCCAATCGAGGCCCGGCAGTGGCTTGGCAGAGATAAATCCAAGCAGCTGACTCCGCTGCCCGTCGGATTATATGCCAAAGTGCTCGGTGTCCTCAAATGTTCTGCGGAGGGAGTAAAGAGTCTCGAGGTGTTGACAATCCGCGCCCTGGAGGACATGAACGAGGTCACCGTGCATATTCTGGATACGGTCAATGCACACATGATACTGGATAAAGCTCGCCGAGCGACTGCTGGGGAAAGTTCTCCTGTGGCCCAACCAGCAGTGGGTGACGCCAAGGAGCACAAAGAAGGTTGCCTCAGCTACATCCAGGAGGAGGTGCTGCGTTTGATTCACGAGTGTCCGCAACAGGAAGGGAAGAGCGTTTGTGAGCTCCAGGCTCAGCTCTGCGGCCTGAGCGCCGAGGCCATCATACAAGCCATTGAGTATCTGACCGTCAAGGGCTATATCTATCCCACTGTGGATCAGGCGCATTTTAAATCTGCTGATTGAGCCAGTGAGAACGTCTTTTATTTTCCGAAGACCCTCGCCTCCAGCTGTGAGTAATTTTGACCTGTTGACTTTAGGAAGTAGGATTTAAAAAAAAAAAAAAAAAATCTCAACTGGCATCCTTTGTCAACTCGCTGCTTTTCCAACGGCTATGAACTTTTCTGTATTTCTAACTCTAATCGTATTTGAAGCTCAGAGGGAGATGGCGATGGAAAATTGACTGGACTCTGTAGGATTTACCAGCAAGGTAGTGGAACCACTCTAGGATGAATGAATTTGGGGGAGAAAAGTTACAGAAAAAGTTGAGATTTAGTGTTTAATTGCATGGGAGCTTCTTTATCTGAAATTTCTGTGTATTAGGAGAAACTAGATGCAGTCAGGGAGCCCGCTAAGAGAGAAAAACCCCAAAAAAAGTTTTACTGGTTTTTACCTGAGACTTATTTTCCATGTTTGTATTTAGCTTATTATAGTCATATTGTTATCTCTTGCTAAGTATACTAATTGATTAATTCAAATGTGCTAAAGATAGTTATCTGTGAACTCAGATGCTCAGTTCAAGCATTTGTTGAATGATTTGTTCTTATTACCATAGGTTTAAGTTTTCTTAAAATAAGATTGTACTATGTTTAAATAAGTACTTCATTTTTTTGCAGGGTCTTCCTTGAATACTTTTCTTAAAATGTGGTTAAGTTTAATGATTATTAGCAATTTAAATTTATAGGAATTTATTTGAATGTTTTATTAAAATAGTTTTACAAAATCTTAACTTTGCCATGTAATTTTTTCTAAGTACATTTGAAAAAGCTTTTTGTTTTATGTCCTTAAGGATTAATCGTTTGAATTATCTAGAATAAATGTTTTCTCTTCTGTATATAATACCAATAACATGTGTTGTATCCTAGTTGTAATAATACATTTTAGTGTAGATAATATTATGTGAGACTTTTAAATAATTGACCATTAAAGTAAACCCTCAGTTACGCATATACTAAAGATGATATCTTTCAAGGTACTGGTTTTGTTACATTAGAAAGAAAAAATTACATGTATATTTCTGAATGAATATACACACATGCACACATATATTTATTTATTCAGACAAGTATAAGAGAAGAAAATCACTTGTCCTAATTGATTCATAAAAAAGAGGATGCAGAATACCAGAAAATCTCTTAAATGCACCATTGCTAGTAATCCATACTGTCAGGAAAACTATCAGAAAATGGCTTCTCTTTGCCAGCCCTTGCAAACACTTACCACCAATTCTTGCTTAAACTTTGTGGGGCATAAACTTTCTTCCCCTTCACAGCAAAGAAATTGTAAAATGCATTCTTTTGAAAAACACAAATTGGTAACATACTATAAATCTGTTATTTATCAGACATTTTTGAAAATTCAGGTCCTCAAAAACCTAAGAAATTCTGAACCACAGTTTGTTGAAAAAGGTTACCTGTCCTGGGGAAAATCATATAGAGGGAGGGGCAAAAGGGGCACATTTCTTCCTCAGAATTATAATGCTGAAAGAAATAGCCTAGGAGACGTAAAATTCTTTTGTAATATCACTTACACAAATACAGAAGACATGAGATTAAAATTTGATACTTATAACTGTAACGATAAGTCCCTCTTCTAATTATTCCAGTTGATGCAACTGGCCAGTGGATGGGTAGCAACTTTTCCCCCACTCTAGGAGTATGTCTACAGATCTAAGAAAAAAGAAAAAGTCGTTTTTGTTTGGGAGGCTAAAATGCTTTTTTGCATGGGAACTGGTACATTGAGACATGTATACCTGAATTTCAGGCAGAAGACCAGCCTCTACCCCATCCTCCAAGATAAAATGTCTTTTCTCTGTGTCCTTTGGGGTCATTTTTGGCTTTGCTAATTGCCCCATCCCCCCACCCCCTTATTCTTCTGAATGGAGTCATGTACTTTAGTGGGATTCTGCTGCAGGTAGAGGATTACAATGGAAGAATAGTACTTAGATCTAGCTATAATATGAATGGGAATCAACAAACATTTTATGCAGAAAACAATTGCTAGATTATTTTATACATGCATATTTGGTACATGTTAGGTGTAGCAGATTTTAAAAATTCATATTAAATCATTCATCTGGCATGCATACTTTTTCATTTTTATTTAGACTGGGAAAGATTTGGCCAATGCTCCTTTTTCTCTTATGGTTCCGCCCTATAAGTGAGCCAAGCCTTTGAGGATAAGACACAAACCCTGGGAAAATACTGTTGACTCTTTTGAACAGGGACATTTACACCTGATGAACCTGAAAAGCATAATAGATGATTATAATCCACTTGGTTTTTTTTTTTCCCCTATGGCTCATGGGCATAAGAAATGTATGTATTTATATAGAAGTTGATTCTAAATTAGAATAAATTTGATAATGTTTTCAAGTCAAATCAGATATTATTAGTGATCATTTGGTTACTTTTACCTACTAAGTTTGGTAATATTTTGAGTATAAGCTGAGAAATATAAATTCTTATATTTTTAAAATTTCTGTTTACTCTTTATAACAGCAAATCAAAAAAGGTAACCAGCCAGAATTATTTTCATAATAATTTAGTGAGCACCTACTATGTGCATTTAAGTGTTAACTTTCATTTTAATAAGCTTAAATTCAATTGACTTCTGTAATGCTTATTAAAATAATGATAA